TCGCTGTAGGCAGCGGAGCTGGTGCTGGAGCACGGCGGTGTCATCGTGTTGGAACCATAAACCGGCTGAAAAAATTTAAAAACCCTTATTTTTGGAATTTTGGGGTATTTTGAAATACATGACATGTATTTTTAGTTTTAACAGAAAAAACTCAATAAATCTGGGAACCACCGGGAAGTACAGTGGAAAAGGTGGTGTTTCGAACACCGACTCGGGGTAAGAATCTCTCACTCTTTTCTCCCGTTATGATTAATTAAAGTTTAATAAATAATAACAGTGTAATTTTTAAATATTAGAAATATCTGATTAATTAAACACAGGTCATCAGTGGAGCTGATAACTGGTCAGTGTATAATTGCCCTAGCTTATCTGTGTGACTCATTTATTGTTATACTATTGTATTTGTTTATCATTACTTTGTGTACTTTAATTTATTAGTTTTAATTGTTATCTTGTTCATTAGGTTACTCAACTGTTTTTATCTCTATCTGTTGATTGGTTTGGAATAAATGCCTTGATTATATCTCCTTCAGTTTTTAATTTATTTATTTATATTGTCTGTGTAATTACTACTCTATTGTTCTATAAATATGGAATGAGATGATTGTGTGTAATTGGTGGCTGATTGATGATGTAAACATGTGTATAAAAGGTTTATCAGATATCATGAAAAATAGTGTACGGACCTTGTATGTTGACATTACTTCAATTAAACGAGACTTAGAAGTCCCATATCGGAAGGGGTTGGGTAATATTTGTTCACCCTCATATTGGATGGGTTATTGAGGCAGTGGTATATTTGGCGCTCATTACCGGATGGGATATGGGGACGACTCATTAATTAATAAATTGAATGTTAGGTCCACGTATAGAGATAACCCCTATGGACCCTTAGAGGTATCAGTAAGTAGTAGATAAAATGTAAAGTGTCTATTATTCTTCCTTAGAATGTATCATGAATTGTTAGTTTGATTATTGTCTTCATAAGTCGAATTTGAGACTTAAAAGTGAGCACGAACTTATATATTTTTTATCAATGAATTTACCTAAAGAAAAATGCTCCATTAGTATTTATATTTTA